TATAGCTTGTGATCTACAGTGGAAAATAGGCAAATTTTTTGGAAGAGTTGCCACCTGTTAAAAAAGTTTTAATTATATTAATACGCGGAAACGACTGAACAAATTTGCATGACATTTCGCACAGAGATAGCTTATGACCTATGTTGGAAAATAGGCTACTATTTTAAGAGTTGCCGCTTGTTTGAAAATGAAATTTTGCTCAAAGATGGTTTATGACCTGGATTGAAAAATAGGCTACTTCCTTAACCGGTTTTCCGATCAGAACGAAATTTAGTACACTTACTACGGATTTCGGATAGATGGTTTAATTAGCTAGTTAATTCGATTAAAATCTATCTGATTACAGTTAATCATGATTAATTTTAATCCGACTAAACAGTTAATCGTAACCGCGATTAAAAAATTAATTTTTAATCATTAACTCTTAATTTGATCAAGTAGGTTTGGTGATTAATTAAGGTATGCTGGAATTTCCCTGTGCACACAAAGCAAGTTAATCCGGTATGGCTAAGTCGGGTTTCCTCATCAATCTAAGCAATTTGGTGTGCATTTTCATTAAGATATATATCAACAAACGTTTTACAAACTAGGTTTGTAAAAGTTCCCAGTGTGTATATTACTAATAACAATAATTATAATTTGTTTATATTATGTGCTTTTTATAAGCATAAAACACAAAATAATTACAATAACTGGTGTTTGGTTTCAAACTCGGACAAACTAGACAAATTAGTCAGAGTTTATTTTTAATTGGATTAACGATTAATGTTTTAAATTAATTAAACGTAATCGCAGCCAGCGATTAACGATTAAAAAAATGTTGTCATTAATCGTACAGTTGACTACGACTAATTAATGTAAATCGTCAAACGCGATTAACATTTTAATCAGATTAAAAGTTTGCCAACACTGTGTGAAATCATGTTCATATTCACGGAAAAAATGGACGTGTTTGGAAAAGAGGCGTATCACCTCCCATACTGACTGAAAGTTCCATATTGCATATCTCTTCAAAAGTTTGGGGTAAAGCACTCAAACTTGGTATGGAAATACATATGTATGTATGTACAGTTGTCCACAAAATAATAGGAGTGCGATATTTTGACCAGTTTTGGCTATTTGTCTTTTGTTTATTTAATGTTTATTATTTTTTTATAAAAGCCTAGCTGGCTATACAACAAACACCATATAAATTCAGATTTTAAACTTTGTATACAAATTATAAAAATTTTGCAATTTTTCACCCAATTTTCAAACTTATTAATCAGAATCTTTAGAAAAAATTCTGGTATGCAGTTTTGTAGCACATTCAATTCTAGTCTGAAGAAGTGCAAGTTTCAAGCGGCTAAAAAATTCCGTTGATTTTTGGCAATTTTTTTGCTGGCAGTGTCCTCCATATAAAAGAAAATTGTCGACATACTTTGTATGGAAAAAA